TTGCTATTAGCAGTCCCGATACAGATGATGATGGATTCAGTGATGCCTGCAGCCTGGACCACTAAATCCAAAATATATCTTCCAATAGGTATATTCCAGTGCATTTATTCCTGTTACCACTGTGCACCCCCTAGCAGCAAATGAATCTTTGCTGAAACCCTTTTCAACTAATCTAGTTTTTCCGTGCTCAGACCTAAAGAACATGGATTACTTCCAGAATTAAGGATGCAAATTTTATTTTCACTATCCCAGACTGGGACTATATTATTGCTGAGGCATCACCAAGCAGGCACTCTCAGCCCCACTGAATTGTGAAGACCATTTAGCTGGACATGATGGAGCATATGAACTACTCAGCTGCAGGTAGCCATCCACAAGGCCTGTATGTCAAGTACAGAAAGAAAGTTTCAAGGGGTTTGGGAAATAAATCAAATGGGATGGAGAAGATCTGCCTGAGCCCTGACAAGTTGAGGGCTCTGCCCACTTTGAAGCTAAGAAGTCAGTAGAGGGACTAAAAGTGGACTGGTGCAGAAGTGCTTCATATGGTCCTCTCTTGCCTCAGACTGGACCAAGCTCCTTAAAGCTTCAAGTACCTTGGAAGGCAGGATGAAATTAAGGAGGTGGTGCCCTATGGGAGTGGGTATTTCCAGGCTTCATGTAACGCTGTCCCATTGCACGGAGGGGTATTAAAAATAGATAGTCTCCGAAACCGATCACTGCTTTTGGTTAAGGAAGAAAAGTGGAAGGTCTTGATCACATGTTGAATTAGTGTGTCTGGTGTATGCGACACCTCCTAGGCTGAACCGGATCGATTTCCGACAGCAAAGGGGATAAAAAATGAAGCAGGCAGGAGTGCAATCCGACACAGGAGGAAAGAGAACAAGACTTGCAACTCTCACATTCCCTCAGCCTGAATAATAAGTCAGTTACCCTTCCATAGAAATGTATTTGTTTATTTATTAGATTTTTATCCTGCTTTTTTTGAAGCAGCTTACATCATTCTCCTCATCCTGCTCAATTCCTATACCCACAACAACAACCCTGTAAGGTAGGTTGGGCTGAGAGTCTATGACTGCCCCAAAATCACCCAGTTTGCTCCAGCAGGGCTGAGCAGGGATTAGAGCCCAGGTTGCCAAGAGTCCCAGTCCCACACACCACACTGGCTCTCAAAATATCATAAAAGTAGTGAGAAAATTAAAATTATAGAATGAATAAAGATTAAATGCTGTACATCTAAGGAAAGAGTAGACTGGAATGAGTTGACATTTGGCATGCAAGAATTGTTGATCTAGTGTAGGAATTCCCAGCATGCCCCAGAACAGCTTGCTAGAGCATGCTGGGAGTTTTAGGCCCTTTTTTTGGTCTAAACGTGCTTCAGATTCAATGAAAGCAGAACTTGTTAAGCAATCCAACAAAACACAGAAAAGGTTATTTGCAGAACCCCAAACTGGCAGGAAATGGGGGGAAATATTCAGGATCGTTTCCAATTAGAACATTAAGCATTAACAACAATTCAAAACAGAGCAACTCAGGTACATGGAAAATAATAGGGGAAGAAAAGCATTGCTTTAAAACAGACCTACAAACAAGTGAAAAGAGTGTTGTCATACAGACAGTATAAAGAGAGAAGTGTGTAGAAAAGTTATATACTAGACTGAAGGTTACTGCGGCAGGTAAGATTGCTCTTATCAAGAAAGAAGGGCTACACAGCATGGGGAAATGTGAAAAGCAGAGCAGGGAACGTTCATCTTGGGTCTGAAAAAATACAAGCAGAATGTCAAAGGCAGCAGTATGACTGAGTTTATTGAGTATTTCTGCAGCACGCTCAGGAGACCAACACATCATCAGTGTTGATATGGGCAGCTCAATACATGTGCAGTAACATTGCTCAGCTGAACAGTTCAGCTGTGACAAAGGTAGTGATTCTTACCTAACATATTTTCACAATGGAAAGGATGCTTTCCCATTAATAAAAGTGCCCAGGACCTTCAGTCTTGAACCGACCAGCATCTCTTTCACAGTATTTTTCATGAAAGATCCATCAGTATAATAGCAAACATGCTTACCTGTTGAAGTCAATTTAAAAATTTGATCAAATACTAGATTTCCATTATTTTCAAATACAGGAAATAGTTACCATGCATCAACTCCCATCCTAGCTAACCTAATCATACTAAAAATAAAAATTGTTCTGTTTATACTTTGTGCTTGTGTGGGGGTATACAAAAAGAACTAATTCTTTATTTATTTATTAACACATTTTTATGCCGCCCCATTCGCCGAAGCCTCAGGGCGGCTTACAACAATAATGCAGAATAGACTGCAGAGTCTTTCACAGATGGTTCTCCACTTGCATTTTTATAAATCTAGCTTTAGGCACCATCATTTACCAAAGATTACATAGGGTAGATATAATGCCTCAACAGTTACCATACTGAAACTCAGGCAGGGAAATTCCTTTTGTTTTTAACTTTGAACTGTACTGGAAACCTTCATGTGATAACCAGAGTGAAGATGGTTGTGAAGCATTATCTGAAGTGTTTTTATTGCTGCACATAAATACAAAGTACTCTTAGGACATTCTGAGTTTGACAAACCATCTCTGCACCCATAAAAATCTAAATATTGTTGACTGGGCAATGCTATACATGTGGTAGTGTGAAAAAAGATAGGGAAATGTGTTAAGGAGACTGAAGCAGCTGCCTGATACCAGGTCAGCTCACTGGTCCATTTTGCTCAGAAACTTACCCAAGCTTCCACAATCTAGCAACCTCCAGAAGTGTGAAGTTAGAACTTTGTGCCTAGCCAGCATTGCTGAGCAGGGATGATGCGAATGGCAGCCTAGACATATCTGGAGGACACCAAGTTGGAGAAAGGTGATCTACACTGATAGGCCATGACTGTCTAAGGATTCAGACAAGAAGCTAGCCCAGCTTCACCTCAAGACAGGCAATGTGTGGCCCTCCAGGTTTTAGGACTCCAGCTTCTATAATCTCTCAGTATTGGCTGTGCTGGCTAGGGCTGACAGGGATTGTAGCCCAAAGCACTGGGAAGAGCAAATGCTTCTCATTCTTGCCCTAACTGGAGATTCCAAATCTGCTGTGCCACTGTTGCTTGCTGCCCTCCCTCGGGATTTTTCTTTTTTAAAAAAGGAGCTGCTCTTTGGAATCAACAGTTGCACACTTGCTTCTCTACAGCTTTAGATTACTGCCCAAGCTGGTAACACCCAGTGGACTGTGATTGCTTCATCACCACATTGCTGAACTTGCTAGTGCATGCTTAGTCAAATATGTGTACCTGCACAGTGCTGGAGTCTGTGTGTGTATGGGGCGGGGGGATGACTTGGCCAAGATGCTCTGGGGCTCCACCTCTTTCTCACCACGACTATCAATTCACTTGCCCTCTCCCTTCCAACCTAACTGCTCAAGAGAGCACAAGCCAAGTGGAGAATGCTGCTCTGTCTCCACGCTCCTGTTACTGCTTGTATGCTCAGAGAAGGTAAGGGAGCAGGCAAACCCAGCAAAGACTCTGGGAGCCAACCCTGGCACCTCTGCTTGGATGTGAGCCTTGGCGAGTGCCTAACGATCCCAACCACTCTACTTGCAAGTGTACCAGTATTCCTTATCACTCATCTAAGGATAGGCTCAGTGTGACAAGACAAAGGCTTGGATGGACACTGTTAGTTGCACAATTACTATTCAAATCACTAGGCTTAAGCCACCAGAGACTTATCTCACTTGCTTCAACTGCACTTCAGCTCAAGTAACTCAGTTACATTCCAACCCTAAGTTGGACCTCCTTTCTTGAGGAGGTGTAAAGTATCTAGTTAAATGAAAATTTTAGTGAGCCTCCAAATGTAAAATGCAAGCAATAAAGCAGCAAAACCTCTTAATGAATCTCAGGTGGATGGATGGAAAACAAATATTCCCTTTATCCTGCAAAAAGCACACACAGAGAAAAGCCTTAAGCCAAAAGAGAAGTAGTTCTGACCATTTCGAGATATTGCCACTTAACCAAATTCTGAAGGACATGTGCCACTGCAACCCCCATTCCCCAAACTGTGCGAAACCTGCTTCCAGAGTAAAGGAAGGTGTATCAGTGGCTCAACTGCAGCTGCAACATCCTATAGAATCTGAAGATTCTGGTCAGCAGAAGCCAGGGGCGTAATAAAATTGCAGCAGAACCTCCTAAAGTTCCTGAGGCTGCTGATTCACCAGTTGGTGAAGAGATGGATCCTTACTTCCTGCAAACAACTATTACAGTTGTAAGAAACGTGGAACAAACCAAACTAGGCCAGAGAATGGCTCCTGTTCCTACTGTCCAGCTTTACTATGGTAATACTTCCATTACCAACAAAGCAAGCATGTCTACTTTTGTGGAATATACCATAAAACCAACCTGATGGATTTAGACAGAAAGAAATGCTGCAATGACTTGGACTTACTTTAGAGTTCCCAAAAAGGGGCATCTTCCTTACCCTGGAAACTAGCAAGGGTGAGTTGCTTAAACTGTGTGGAACACTGTCAAAACTCTCAGCTTGAAATCAGGTGTCAATATTGTTTGAACAGTTTAGTGAGTGGTGGCTTTCCATCAATAGCATTGCATTGCATACCCTCTTAAATTTATTTTAGTGGCACCACCTATAGCAGTTCTTTTCTTAGCTGCCACCACCTGCCCCTCTGCCCCCCAAAACTCTTAATGCTCTGGAAATGCCAGTGTCTAAGGCACTCTGAGAGGAAAATGGCAACCATTAAGAGGCATTCCACTGCCATAAATGACAGCACTAGAATATAGTGAAGAGTTAAGGCCAGTGGTAGTCCTCCATACAGTTTTCCCATCTACTGCAGAACGATTTCTGACTTTCAGCCCCTGTTGCAGCCAGTTAATTGCCTGTGAATGGAGTAAGCATTCCTAAATCCAGAATTCCTGTCTCCAATAGCCAGAGATGGACAGCAATACAAAAGTTAATTGTTTTATTAAAGAGACAGATTCCTTCCAGCTTAGTCAAAAGAATTTATTAGAAAATATTCTGAACTACATAAAACTCTTTAGAATATTGTTTCAGTAGACTTTATTCCAGCCTTATGCTACAGACACCATAGCCTGGAGTTAGATCAGCCACTGTGCTCTTGACTTTTTTTTTTTGTATTTTTTAAATTATGACATATTCAAGCCACATGCACATTGAAAGACTGGAAGGAGTGCTCGGTATACCAATATCCTCCCTCACAATCACAATTTAAAGAAGCTCCAATTCATCAATTTCCTCACAGCAATTTAGATCTTTTGAGTTGATGTTTTCTATAGCATTACTGAAATGGTTGGAAAATGACAAAATGAAGCACTTAGCAAATTTCATTTGATAGTGCAGGAATACAGAAGTGGCTTTTGCTAGCAGATCCTATGCATCTTTACTCCAGAAGTCCTCCTGAATTAAATCACTTGGACTTACTCCCATGTCAATGTGCATAGGATTGCAGCCTTGCAACAGTAAATGCCCACATATTTAAGAGTACGTATGTCCTTGTGTATTCACGTTACAGGAAATCTTGATTTTCTCAGGAAGACAGAGTAGATTGGCCCAATCCAGTTATGCATACATCACACGGTGGGTGATCAGCATGGAAGATGGGCAATTCAGTATTGACATGATGATGGGGAGGGCCAGATGCCATCAGTTTGACCAGGACAAGTGACTGGACCCTTCTTGTAGCATCAACATTCTGATGAGACACGTTCCATTCTGAATCCAGCAAAGGATGGTGCCCATCCCTGCATACAGTGCATAAGCCAACAGGAGAGGAGCATATCCTATTCTGCTCAGTGTGCCTACATGCTAAGACAATGGATTTCTGAACTCCTCATGTGAAAGGGCTGCATATTTTGGCATGAAATTTAAAAATATTTATGTAATATAGGCTGACTGCATACTAGCCAATACTTCGCATTAGGGTAGGAACTAATAAAAGTTTGCCATAAAAATCTGCCATAGTCACAATGCAGGAACAGAGGGAAAGGGGGTATATTAATTCTTCATGAAATTACTCCTTGGAAAAGATTTCCTGATAGGAGCATAATGAATGCTCAACTGTGGCTTGGCATGGACGCTTTCTGATCTCTTAACCACTGTGAAGAATAAGTTATGCCTCAGGAGCTCTACTTCCTTTCCTCCTCTTTGAATTCATCCCTTCCTTCCTTGTCAGCACTTACTATGACTATTGCTCTCTCAGCACCAAACTGAACTGGAATCAAAGTGAGACACTGTAGTCAGATACAGGTCTCACACTCAGATTTAAAGCATATTATGATCCATGTCCACCCTGGCAAAGATAGCTTAGCCATAATTAGTAGAAAAAAGGAAAAGTGAAGAGCCTTCAGGTCTGAGGGGCAAGATAGTAAGAAGCAGATGCCAAGTTTCACAAAGATGAAGAAATGTTACATCTACACTGATTCTGTACAGAGTAAAGGTATCCAACACCCCAAAATTCAACTTCAATAGTTGGGAGAATGTATTAAGTATAAATACATATGGTGTGATTAAACAAAATTGGCATTGCAATTTCTACATTTTTTTCCCTCAAGTGCCAGCCAGATTTGGCTAAAAATAGGTTGAAATATCATTAAAATTTCTACTAGTCTAACACAAACTTTTTTTCAGAAGTCTAAAACATAGTGTTTGACTGTAAAAAAAAGCATCCACACTAAAAAGACTTCATAAGATAAATATTATCTTTAGTTACACACAAAATACAGCCAAGCAGTTCATTGTCTGCGAAGTAATCAAGTGGATTAACTATTTTGACATTGCTGTATTCCATATTTCTTAAGTTATCATCAGCCTTGGCCTTCTGTGGAGCCTGCCACAAGTGGGACTGCACTCAGGAACACATGGCTAAACGGTTGTTCTTATCTGTTTAAACATGCAACTAACCTGTATACCAAGCACGGTACACATCATAGTTACTGCAATGAATCACTGGGAAGATTAATCACATTGTAACAGCACTTTTTCCAAATCAAGGCCTTTTTATTCCCTTAGTTCTCCATAACTTCCACAGGGACCTAATGATGACTTTCTATGCCCTGGAAGTCCAAATAAGACACTGCAAGTAAACTGTGGTATGTATGATTTCCTGCCTAGCAGCCATACTAGCTTCACTGCATTCCATTATATAATACTTAGGATCACTCAGATACAAGGTTCTGTATAAAACTCTGCCTCATGCATTTATACTAGTGTGAGGACATAATGGCATGAGCTTGGCAATCTATTATGCAGCCTTCATCATGATAGAATCCATATCACACATTATTCTGCTTTTATATCACATGGCTCGGCCATACAGCTGCTTACATTGGACCAAAACTGGTAATGCTATGCCACACCTTATATGGCTATTGCTTACACAATTCACATGTTATACAGAGCAAATGTTTTATCTCAAGGTGTGGGAAAATAAAAATAAAGTGTACCCAATTGAACAATGCCAGACAAAATTTAAGCTAGGCAATTAATACCTGAATAAAAAAATCAAGCACAGGAAACCTTTCAAACTCACAGTATACTCCAAAGGTCATTTCCCCAAAGTAGGTTGAACACTAAGCACTAGTTTTGGTTGCCTGCACCATGCCTTTCAGAACTAAACTTGTTTTTAATCTAACTCCTCAAAACAAGGATTGAAAAGCCACAAAACAAGCAGCAGCATAACCTTTATTTGGTGTTCCACTAGAAATACTACACTCATGATTTCAGGAAAGAAAAATTACTTTTGCAGAGTTATTGTTTTGTTTGAAGAGTTGTTCTGCTCAGACAATGTGCTTTTAAAACACATATTTTAACCCTGAAAATTGAGGCAAAACAATTTTGCTATAATAGGAAGGGAAGTAGGAGGACCACCAAAGAAAAATTTGCCCTGAATCTTTTCCCTGACTGATTTACATACATTGTACATATCTGTCCAAATCACTGTATTCTGACAAACAGTTCTATACACTACTGTTTGAACCAAAATCCTGTACATGTGGCATTCAACACAATTGTATATTACTAGTGAGAGGGCACGCTCCTTTATTCTTTTTAGTTTCTCTTTACATATCCTTTTGCAAAAGGATAAAGAAGTTGCAGCATTAATCTATATTTATTTATAACAAAACATTATACACTATATTGAAAAATAATTTTATCAAAATCAGATTTCAACCACTATTTTTAGTTAATAGTCCATGTCAAAATTGCACTTTGCAGACATCTTGATGGCATTTTTCAGTCTACACTTATTTCCTTTCCATAGAAATAGGCTCTTCTGGATTTTTCTTCCGTGAATGTTTATATTTGTCCACATAAGCTTTTACCAAATTTGCCACTTTTGCGGAATTCACTTCCCCACTCTTGCTATGACAAACCTAAACAAAAATGTAAAAGGGTAACCATTAAAGAATTATTTCAGTCAAACTATTCTAAAAATCAGATAAAAACAGAAATATACTTGTGCAGAACCCAAACATACAATGCAAATGACCCTCAGAAGTATCTGGTCCGGAATAAGTTTCACCGTGCTTATCTAGCTCCTTAAGGAAATGAGTGTAATGGTCATTAGATAATGATGTGTAGTGCTGTAGAAGCAGGGTGGTTATGAAGGTTTCGGCATGAAGGTGGAAAGAAAATGCAGGAAATACACCTTAAGATGGAAACAGCTCAAATTTGCACACACTCTCCAGTCTAATAGCAGCTAAGAATTCTTTAAAGGCACAATCCTTTGCAAGTTTAGACAGGAAGATGTAAAACTCCTGGCCTGGCAAGCTAGGCTTAGGATTGTGCCCTAAGTGGCTTAAAAAGCTACAGCTGCTTCTTTCATGACTGATAAAAAAACCCTCCTGTGCAAAGCATTTTACAGAACATTCACTGCTAAGAGAATCCAGATCGCTAATTATTTTCAGAAGTTAATTGAATATCAATTACCTTATCTACTGCTTTTCTTACAATCTCTTTATATTCTTCTTTAGTAATGTCTTTATTTTGATAGAAAGGCTTAATAGCTAGCTTCACTTCTTGTGCGGCTTTTTCCTGAATTAACAATTTCTGGAAAATTAAAATGTGCATGTTATTTAGGAGGTCACACATACCAACCTTTTCTTGAAATCACTGAAATAAGCATAAAAACAAATAGATAAATTTACTGAAATCCACACCGACAATACAACAGCGTATTCTATTCACACAAGGACTGGCCCTGTGTGGCCTATTTCATCTGTGGGGAGTTTCGTGTTGTGCCGAGCATCACCAGACACCTGACTTGCCATGGCTTGTGGTATCATGTGAACCCAGGCAGCAAGTATTGTTTGATGGCTGGAAAACTCTCAGAAAACTCTAAAACAGGCCATGGATTGCCTGAGTCCTCTCATCCTCAAATAACCCCTCCCATTTGGGCCTGCAAAGCATGACAAGCTGCAGTAAGCCAGGAACCCACAGATGCCATGCAAAAAAATCATCCTAGGATGATCCAGCACAGGATGACTGCTCCCTATGAGTAAATCAAGTCCCAGCAGACCATTGTGGCATGTGAATAAAGCCATCAACTGATAAATGACTGCACTAAAATCGCAGTACCAGCTGCCTCCAAGCAACCTGACAAGAAATCTTATAACATGTGAGTCCTTTGTTCTTCTTTTAGGCAGCTAAGATTTAATAGAGGTATGTATGAGCAGATGGGTTAATAGCTCACAGGCTTCTTTGGAACATACTTCTAGAAATACAGAATTTTTCATATCGAGTTAGATATTGGCTAAGTCAACACAATAGTTGCCTGAAATTCTATGATTTCTTAGGAAATTTAAGTGGAGACATGCAGAGAAGCTGATAGATAGTGACAGTCTCTCCATGTCTGGGGCAAATAAGGTTCACTCTCCCTTTTAACACCCTAGAGTTATGCAAACTGCTTTTGGCTTTGAACTTGCCTGGTCTTTCTTGGAGCTATCCGCGCTGGCTTCCACTGTTACACTTACTTTGCTTTCAGCCAATTTTACAGCAGCATTAGAGGATTTGATGTTACTTGATGATGTTGCATTACCAGAACTTGGTCCCTGAAATGTTTCCATGCTTCCCAGAGTTGCTGCTGGAGCAGGCAAGAGTGTCGAACTCATGTTGTTGGCAACATGAGAAGTACTAGGAATGGCCTGTTTTAAAAAGTTATCATAAATGTGCATGTTAGTAATTGCACACAAAACTACTGCCTAGCATTTTTATCAACTATCCAAAATACACTAAGTACTTGGGGGCATCTAATGTGAAAGCACTTCCTATAGTTTTTAAGTGGAAAGAACTCTGTCACAGGTTGCCCCAACATGGGATTAACCTATTCTGGAAGATGGAAAAGGAGAGCAGCCCAGGAATAGTTCCTGCCTAATGGGCGAACAGAATTTTTGTGCAGAGCTGCGTTATCATACAGAACCCATTCAGCATGACCAATTTGTCAGTGAACATGCAGGCTCAGGTATTTTTAAAAAATATTTTTACAAGTATGTGAAGGGAAAAAAGAGACAGTTTGCAGAAGTGATGACAGAGAGACCTGAGCTTACTTGCTCTGTGAATGGAAAAAAATCAACTTTGCACCAGCTACGTCAGGACATAGCTCACCAGGTGTGAAGAAGAGGGACAGCAGTGATAGGGCACTGCTGTCCATAAAAACACTATAATAATGTGAGGAGGAAGAGGATAGTAACAGGCCAGAGACTTGCCTACACAGGAACAGAAGGAGCAGGGATTTGTAGCTGATGGAGATCCTCCAACCTGCTTTTACATCTTCTCAGCTCCTGTATTCAACAATAATTTCTTGGGCTCAAAATTCTTTACTTCTAAAGGCATACCTTTTGCACTGAGCTCTAGTTGTTGGAACTCAGGGTTCCAGCAAAAACAAAGTAGACCTCAGAAGCCTGAAGTCTTTCTTTCCTGGTCATTGTTTTAGGAAAACTTAAGATGGTTGCTTGACTTACAGTTGCTTCTAAAACACAGTACATATTTTACAACTAAACGGTATACCTGCAATGGTTTTCCATCCAACTGGGGAGCAACATAGTTAATCTGCTGGGATGGTGGCGGAGGTGGTGGAGGTGGTGGTGGTCCCTGAGACACATTGGTTGAAGCCGCTACCTGGACGAGAGGCACTCCTGTATGAAGATGCATGGGCACTGGTGGAGGAAGGTTAAATGGATTGTGTTGTATGTTCATAATTGGAGCAGGAACACCCATTGGATATGGAAAGATACTCATTGGCTGATGTTGTGTATTTACAGGTGTCATTACATTCATCTGAGGCTGCAGCACATTTATTGGTAGTTGAGAACTATCACCTTGTTGATTGGCTTGGTCTTTGAAATTTGGATCTATCAGATGGGAGAACATTTAAGAGTGTAAGTCAATAAAGCATTATAAAAACCATCCAAAGGACACATTGTTCATACATGCTATGAAGTATCAACTTTTAAATCCAGGCCTCGATTTCCTTTTCCCCACAATTGTATTAAAGTTACTAGTCACTTAGAAAGACATCTGATTTGTTAGTTATTATGTCATTCATAGTTTTTCTCAGATGGGATGGCAAATATATATGCTTGTGCGTGTGTGTGTATAAATAAAACCAATGGTAGCAGGAACAAAGCATCGGTTAGCTAACAGAACTTTTTGCTTACAAATGCTTTCAATATGCATAGCAAAGCTAACTGTATTTGCCTGAAAACAGAGGAGCAGTCCAAAGTAAACACACAACTAAATTCTCAAACACAACTATGGCTTTTGATCCTTTATTGAATCACCCCTTCTTCATACATAGCCATGAAGACTATGGATTGTGGAGCGGTTCTTTTACTTTATATGGCTTTGACTTCCTGAATCTTAAATAGAGGACAAAAGTGTGGCACTATGAAGTTTGCTTATTTTTTCATTGTTATTTATCATACACTGTACAAGTTTATGAAATGAAGTGATTTCAATTAAGGTATCTGTTAACAGAATCAGGGTGCTAATCCCACACCTACAGACCTCCTTGCCAGTTTTTCTAGAAGGATTTGGTCACAGAAGTGGCTCTGAGGAGGAAGAGTCAGCAAAAATCAGTTTCTATTCCATTTTCAAAAGATAGACGTGTCCTTTTCTTGAGTGGAATACTACTACTCACAGAATACTAAAGAATGAAGTTAAAAATAAATTGTTAAAATGCTGGGACAATAAAAAGTCTTCATCTGGCACTGAAAAGAATAAAAGGTAGGAGCTGGGTGCACCTCTTTGCGGAGCTCATTCCGTAACTGGGGTACAACAACCGAAAAGGCCCTACTCCTGGTAGCCACCAACCTCACTTCCTTTGGAAGGGGCACCTGGAAAAGAACCCCTAAACATGACCGCAGGGTCTGGGTAGGTACATATAGAATGAGGTGACCTGTCAGATAACCTGATGTCAAGCCATTTAGGGCTTTGCATGTTAGTACCAGCACTTTGAATTCACTTCAAGACTTGCTTTGCATTGACTGAATCCCAAATCTGTTAGAATCAGCCTGATTCAGTTTGGCATTCATATAAATCTTATGCATAACCTTAGTTTAAGCAACTATATAATCCATGTATAGCGTATATAATAACCTCATTATATTATGAAGTCAATTTCTGAAGAGATGCATTAAAGAACACAAAAATCCAAATCTTAATGAACACTTGACATGGAGTATGCATTAATAGGGGAAGTGAACAGGAAATTAAGCTACTTAAGTTGAAGGGTTTCACAGAAATCAAGGTTAGCCAGAGATGTCTGGTCTTCACAGAACTTCAAAAAATAAAATGGGCATTTCTGTCCACCCTCCCCTAAAACAGTAAATTAATATTTGAAGAAAATACCTTGCTCAGGCACTACTTCTTCTTGTTTTGCCCATGAAGACTGTGGGCTGGAAGAATTTCTTCCTCTCCTTGAATAATAATTCTGTACATCCGCTGGTAAAGTCTTTCTTACAGCCCAGCTTGATGCAGATGTCCATCCCGACCTATCAGCGGGTGTATCAAAAGAGATGTCTTGTTCCGCCTTACGTTTGTATGGCTGATGGTCTGGAAATCTGGAACTGTCATTTCCAGAGCTATTTGCATTCCCTGAATGGGGCTTCCTAGCTTGCCAGCGATTTTCAGCCTGGTCTCCATACATAAAGCCGCCTCTGCCACGGCCGCCTCTGCCACGGCCACCTCTGCCACGATTTGAATTCCAACCAGATCCAAAGTTTCTATTCCAAGGAGTCCCTGAATTATTGTGCCTATTTTCTTCCCACTGTTGACTTTTAAAATTGTCTCTTTCTCTGTTCCTCATTTCTGGAACTGAATTTATCCTTTCCATTACCCAGTCTGGATAATCTTTCCTATACTGCTCAGAAGAATATTGTTTGTCATTATCTTTGTTTGCACTGTCCCTCTCTTTTTTCATACTCTCTGTCAGCTTCTCCTGCTCATTTCTTTTATATCTATCATTTCCTCTGGGACTTCTCCAGTTGTCATTTGTCCACCGGTCTTTCCATCTTGGAGGTGAATAGCCATCCCTCTCATTTCTAGGAAATGAAGGGCCTTTACTTCTTGGCCTGGATCTGGACCTAGATCTCGATCTTGATCGAGACTGTGACCATCTCCTCCTCCTACTCTCTCTTTCATGATCTCTTCTTAACCCATCTTTATCACTATCTCTATCCCTGCTTTGAGATCTACATTTGTGTCTTGGAGAAGAATCTTTAGCTCGTGTCCGAGAAGATTTCCTTCCTTCTCTCAGAGGATCCCTCTTAGGAGAACTGGATGGAGATCTCTTCCCATCTTTGAGAAGATCCCTTTTAGGGGAAACAGATGGAGATCTCCTACCTTCTCTCAGGGGTTCTCTTTTAGGGGAACTGGATGGAGACCTCTTTCCTTCTGTTGCAGGATGACTGCTTTCATCATCTCTTTTTGGAGAACCAGATGGAGATCTCTGCCTTTCAGCCACAGAATCTCTTTTTGGAGACTGTGACAGAGATCTTTGCCTTTCTTTGGAAGTATCCCTTCTGGGAGACCGAGGCATCCTGCCTTCAACCACAATCTCCCTTTTGGGAGATGGAGATTGAGATCTTTTCCCCTCTCTTTTGGATGGAGACCAAGTTGTCGATGGAGAATGAAATCTTGATCTTCTAGTTCGGGTCTTTTTGTCTTTTTTATGTTCTGAGGAACCATCTGTTTCTTCTTTCTTGTCAGGACTTGAAAAGGATATAGAATTTTCAGTATGATGTGCTAAAGAGTTTGCCTCTTGCACTACACTATCACTCACTATTGGCTGATCTATCAGAAATTCATTCTGGTCACTACTAAATGAGTCACATTCCATAGCTACTATCTCATTGTCATCTTTGCTCAAATATGTACTATCTTGAGTATCTATCTTGGATGATGTACCACTTCCAGATTCCTCTCTAGCCCCTTCTAAAGATTGATTACATTTATCTTCTGATATAACATTTATTAATAAATCAGTACCTTTTAGATTTTCATTATCTGCATGGATATTTGCTTCTTTTTCAGTTTTAGTATCTTCTATCTCTAATGACACTGGAAGCTCCTGCAAATTGTCTGTGGTATTATCTAATGGCTCCTTGACTACTGTGTCAAATTCTATTCCTTCTTGCAATTCATTCTCAGAAGAATGACTAAACAATGGCTCCTCTGGCATTTCATCATTAGGACTCTCCGAAATCTCACCTATTGCCAATGATTCTGTTCCCTTTAGTAATTCATTTCTAGAACCAGACACTGGCTCATCTGCTATTACCACAGTTCTTTGTTCCTCCAGGAACACATCTCCAGGATCAGAGAATGGCTTGTCTGCTATTGCCGTGGATTCTGTTCCTTCAAGCAATTCAGTTCCAGGAACAGAGTCATCTGATATTGACATGTGCTCTGATTTCTCCAGCAATTTGTCTCCTGGACTATCCAAAGGGCTATCTTTTATTGCCACAGGTTCCACTTTCACTGGCAATTCATTAGTAGGACTATCTAATTCTTGAGGCTGATGTGCAAGTGCTATTATATTGTCAGACAATTTTTCTCTAGAAACATGTAAAGGTTGATCCACTTCTTCAACTGGATTTTTATTGTATGGCTTATTTTCAAACACAGTGCCACCTTTTACTTCACATTTTTCAGTGCCTCCCTCCAAAGTGAGCAAAGGAGGATCCTGAACATATGAAGCAGCATCTTCCTCTAGGGTGAGCAAAGGAGGATCTTCAAAACAGGAACTATTGTCTAAGATGTCTGAAGTATCTTGCTCTTCAGCGGGATCTCTTATAGGTTCTTCCTTACATTCAACAGAGTCCTTGGAGTTTTCCAAGCCATTAGCAGACTGAGTTTCCTCATCATTTTTGTGACTAAAGCCAGAGGTGCTATTTTCACTGTCTGGTAAATTGCTTTTATCTAGTAGCAGAGTTATTTTGGTTTCATCTGATTCATCAGCATCTACTAGATCACCGGATGTCTTTCCATACCGTCCAGAACTTCTGAGTTTCTTTTTAACTAAAGGTTCCTGTTGCTTAGCTCCTCTTTTACCCTTCCGTTTTGGAGGTAATTTCTCAGATTCTGTACAAGAAGCACTCACAAATGAGCTACCATCACCACTAGCATCACATCCAGAACTACTTGTTTTTGGTAAACTCTGTGATTGACTTGGTGTTTCTGTTTTAGCATTCCTGGCAGATCTTCGCCTAGGAGTAGTATCTGAAACTTTCCTTCTTGTTCCTCTTGTGCCAGCTGTACCGGAAGTCTGTTTTTTTTCTTCTCCTTCCTGGACATAGGTAACAATATGTCCCTTTTTTGAAGTTCCTAATATTAAAAAAAAAGTAATATATTGTGGTATGGTAAACACATTTTTCCATTAGAAATGCTCACAATGATAGAACACTTCTTTATTCTGGGGCTATTTCTACATTACCATGGGTCAACAGTTTTATACACATTTATTTAGCAGTTTACTCTTTCAAAAAAAGATGCTCAGGTCAAAATTTTGAACAAAATTTAGATGGCTTAGCTGCTGTTCACTGTTTTCTAAGCCCTGGAATTAACAGAAACAGAGACCAACCCTTATACATCCTCAGGGTCTGCCTGCAAAGATTATGCAAAAGTTTAAGCACTAACAGCTACTCCTATATGATGCCTGCAGAAGTTCATACCAATGTGAAGACATCTAGGGTGAAGTCACCAGTTTGCCCAACACCGAGGAATGACTAGCTGGGATCTGATTTCTAGTCCCTGCTTGGCCATGGAGCCAACTGGGTGACTTTAGGACAGTCACAAATTCTAAGCCCAGCTTATCTCACAGGGTTGTTGTGGGGTAAGTTTGAGAGCAGGATGAAGAGAATGATGTAAGCCACTTTGAGTTCTTTGTAAGAAAAAAGTGGAATATACAACTAATAAATAAATAATTGCATGTTTATACAATTCATGCTCAAAGAGGGATCCATTTTCTTATGAATCTGCTCATGTTTCCCTTATGGCTCCATGTGGCTACATTTCTAACCTCTCTTATTCATCAAGTCTAGCTCAAGAAATACTTTTTTCATGAAGAAAAAGTGTCACTTTTTTATTAACCATTCCAAAATCTCAAGAAACACTTTTTTCATAAATGAGCAAGTCCTCATCCCAAAAGGAATCAAAGCCCAAATAAGAACAAAAACATTTATCCTTATTAACATTATGACAACATAATGACTGCCTTTCTGTCTATTTCTATTTCATAGAATCTTCATTAACAGGAAAAAGATGAAGTATTTAGAAAGGATCATTTTATAGATTGAAGAAGTGATTATATGGAAGAACTGATACTGTAATTAAACAGCAGCCATTCCCTGTGTCTATGGTCTATATACCACTGCCATTAACCAGCCTACAGTGTGCCAATACGCAACTATGTTATTATGATTACAAAACAGGATATAAGTCCTGAGTAAAATTGTTTTGAAACAAACAATTTCTAATTCATGATTCCGTCTCAGTAAGTCCATAAGATAAACATAAATCTTTATGTTTGGGCACTTACTTAAAGGAAGCTCTACTTAAAGGGTTCATGTTACCCAAGTCTGTATCTACCAATTTGTTCAGCTGTGTAGTCTACACAAATGTTCAGAGTTATGTATATTTAGCATTGTTCACACCTAGCTTATCTGATTTTTTAAAATTTTACATTATGTGGCAAGGAGCAAAAATAAGAGAACTGGGACCAAACTTCAACTCTGCATATACTATCCTAACTGCTCCACATTCCATTATGTTAAAACTCTCATATCTAAACATTTCTGAAAGTTACTTTAATGTTTTACACCAATATACAAAATAAAGTCTTACAATATATAATTATTTTGGTTTTTCTATTTTAATTCTGTAGTTTTTAACAGAAAAAAATTAACAGTTTAAACATTGCTTTATATAAACTATAAATAAACTTACAAAAAAAATTTACCAAAGTTTTCCAAAGGTGTAGTACTTATTGAAAAGACAGCTCCCACCATAACAGTGGAAACCAGAAGACAGGCTGTCATTTCTGTTTCACAGGGCATGGAGGGAATTCTGTAAAATTAATTCACACATAAAAATCAGAGTTACACAAAGAATTCCATAGGAAAAAAAAAAGTCATGCATTGCTGCACACACACACATTCCTTCTGTTTAATACTGACAGTGAGATAGGACTGCCTTAATGACTTAAGGATTAACCTGACCAAACTCTTTTTGGCTCAGAGGACTTGGACTAATATGCCTGAAGTAGAGCTGGGGAAAAGGAAATAATTTTAGTTTCCCAGATTTAAAAAATACCTCTTTGCTTTTGTTTGTCTAGATTATAATACTTTCTTCTCACAAATACTTGATCCTCCCAAAATTAGGTTTATGCATGATGTCTACCAGAAAAAAAAACCAGATAGACAGACACCTATATTCAGCTCTGGCTATAAAAACTAAGACATTCCCAAGACAAAACAAAAACCCCTTTAAATATGCCAGTCAGGGTTATATTTACCTCATGAACATGACTGCCATGGTAAACCAAGGGTATGTACTTGCTTTAATGGGGTTTTGCTTTGTGCACTCCCCATCCCTTCTCTGCTTGTCCTGCAGCCAAGGAGAAGTCTAATCACAGTTTTTATGCTGTCTGGATCCACAATTGTGGTTTGTTTCAATAAGCCAGTTTCAGAAACTTTACTTGGTATTCAGTGTTTGGCCTACTTAGAGGAGATCCACAGAAATGAATAGGACTTAAGGCTATATTAACAGTGGATACAGCCCCAAGGGTTGAAGTTGGCTGATTTGAGATTAACTATGTTAGAGATAAACACACTTTTTTGCTCAAGATACAATAATCAACATTTAACCAGAAGGAACCACATCCAAACTCCTTCTCCCTGCAAAACAGAAGGAGAGGAGATGGTGTACCATTCAGCATAAAAACTTGCTACAGCTCTTACCTATTTGTGGATGTTGCATTAACTCATTGTTTAGCATACTAACATGGCCAAAATACTTTTGTATAGCAAAGGACATTTTGTGCACAGTCATACATAAATCAAAGTTAATTAAGAACAGTAAAGGTAAATTTAAACATTGGTTGATTGTTTTTAGATATTGTGACTACAAAGCATAGTTTCCTTGCTGGCTCAAAACATTTATCACTTTTTGCTTTTTTAAAAAGGTCCTAAATCAGGCGGTTGTTTTACCTTGTCACTCTAGCTAGTACAGAACATGACAGCTCCAGTTCTCTTCTCTTGTGTCCAATAATTGTGTCAATTTTGCTGTTCTCTATACTGGAATATAATTTTTAAATATAATTGAATATAATTTTAAGCCCTTCATTTTATATACATATTTTGAAAGGCTAAAAACTAAATATAAAAATGCAACAACATATACTTTCAGGATGAAAGAATACTTAGCATTCAGAGCACTTTATATTATGTTCTCAGTGAGTCTCATTAGTCCTGTATGGGGAGCTGGTATGGATCTTCCTACAGCAGAGATAGTGGTCTCACTTGGACACAAAACTAAACCATAGTTTAGCGCTGTGAAAATGATCAGCAGTGAGCCTCTGGCTTGTGTGGTCACCCCACCTCCCTCAATTATCTGTTCTTTTAAAGTACTAAGCTAGCTGGTAAAGAAGTTCTTCTTGCTGAAGAGTTCTTGGGTTTGAAGAACTTGCTTGTGTGTCATGATGCCCCAGAGCTACCCATTTCTTATCAGTTCATCTAGAATACGCAGGTGTAACATATTCTGCCTTGTGCTATAGTGCAATTTACCTAGATTCAGACGACACAGCAAGCTACAGTTAATCTGAAATGGAAGCTCCCAATGTTCTCCATGCAGTTCCGCTATAGGGGGAGAGGGTAGTCCATGAGCCATTATGTCTAAACATAGCTACTGGCTTGCTTAGGCCACCTAAAGAGTTTATAGCAGAGGTGAAATTTGAACTAAACAATTCCTGACTCTCAATTCACACATCAATAATGTGCTATGTTACACAAGTAAGAGTTTTTAAAAGAACAGATATAAAAACCATTGTATTTCCAAATGCATAAAAGTGTTCTAGAGTATTTCCAAGGATGTAAGTGCAGATTAGGATCCAACTGCAACATTCTTTTTGCAGTAGATCAATGCTAGTCTTCCCCAACCTGGTGCCATCTGTTTGTGGGACTGCAAATCCATTAATCCTCCAACTAGCACGCTGTGGGAAGGAGTGCTGCTGGGAGTTGTAGTCCATGCTTTAGGAGAACACCAGGTTGGGAAAGGTATCCTACTGCATGATGCATTGTTGTCTGTCTGCAACCAAATGAATAAATCAACTTTTACCATTTCACCAAAAATGGAGCCATATTAACATTTACAGATCTACAGTACAACAGTCAGTATAAACAGATTCATACTAACCACTCATTTTGATGGTTTGGCAATTGTCCAGGGAAACTACTATTAGGAGAAAATCTACCACAGAAGTTACTTCTGAGTCTGTTTGAGCAAGTCTGCCTTCTGGGCTATAAAATAAAAATTTACATTTAATACAACACTACAGCTGATATCTGCAAAAAGAAAGAGGAATTCTAGATTTAAGAACATTAAATGAAAAGCTGATTTGACTATTTTCTGGTCACAGAAGTGTAAAACAGCCCTGACAGTCATATAGTCTCTGCCCTGAGATGCAGACCTCCATATTCATATAATGTATTTTACTTACTGGGATCAAGATTTGCTTTATTGCTACGTCTAATAACTGAGATGGGTGACAGGAATGCAGGCCAGCAGGGAAAAAGCATAGCTCAGGGACAAAGCCTATCTTTGGCATGCTGAGGTCCAAAGTTCAATCTCTAACTAAAATGCATCATTTAACATGGGAAAGATCTTTGCCTAAGACTCTGGAGAACCCCTGCCAGTCAGAATATACGTATTGGGATAATGAATATTATTATGGATTTCCTATCTAGTTGTAAACCCAGTTTTTAAAAACTCAGTTTAAGACTCATAGTAAGAAAACATACAATTAAAAATAAAAAGTGGCAGTATTTTGAAAAACAATCACACACATCAATACCAAGATGTACTTCTGCTCCCCATAACCAGGATGCCAAATTTTAACAAGCTTTCTGTACATTGTGTTCCAGTTCTCAGCTTCAATCTCATTCCATTCAAACAGTTGTGTTATATGCCAGACATTAATGATTGATTATCTATATAAAAGAGTGTGAACATTTTCAGTCTATAACGACCTAATGTTCACAGCAGTTACCAAAACAGCTAATAACGGATTTTTAGAAAAAGCTAAAAATAACTGATGTTGTTTGTGTCCTTCTACCATTGCAAAGCTTGACTGATTAGCAAAAGAACCATAATTGGTAGAGATGAACGTCCTTTCAGTTGATTTTTTTAAAGAGAGAGCGAATCTATGGACAACTGTACAGGCATTATGTTACTGGACAACAGTTGTGTTAATGGAAGCCAAAATGCAGCATGCTGCTACATCCTAAAGTTGTATTCATTTGGCTTTTAAGGGCACAGTCTTATAGAGATGAGTATAAGGCACCAGACTCTTCACGTTCTTTTCTCCTTCTGCTCTAGATGGCTGTTTTCAGCTGTCTACTAACAGTATTTTAGAAAGGCAGGGAAAGAGGCTGGGTAGCTTAAAAGTCAAATGAGTACACCGTTAGAACAGATTTGCATTATTGAACTCAACTGTGTGTATGTTAGGAGAATTGTGGACCAAAACCAGAGATGTTATTAGGGAAGAATGCAAAAAGGCAATTCCTGTAGCAACAAAAAAGATGACAGGCAGATGACAGAAAAAATACAATTGCTAAGGACAGGTGAGAATCAAGAGCAAAAGGTGACAAAAATAGGGTCAGAATCCTGAATGAAACTTCTCAGCAACTATCATATAGAGACAAAAAGAACTATTACAATGATAGGAACAAAGTAACAGAAGAGAACACTAGAGACCTTTTCCAGAAGTTCCAAGAATTCAAAGAAAAATTCAAGTCAAGATTAGGAATGCTGAAAGACAAACGGGGGGCACACTATCTCACCAAAAGAAAGTAAAGAGAAGGTGGAAAAATATACAGAACTATATAAAAGGGATGAAAGACTCCTTCAAAGAAGAATCCCATGAGGAAAAGCCTGGAATATTAGAAACTGAAGCGCAAGCTGCTCTGTAAGTACTTGGAAGGAATAAAGTACCTGGAGTAGAAAGGATACCAACAGAGCTATTTCAAGCTGTCAAAGCTGAATTTGGACTGAATCGGTCCAAAACCTAGCAAGAATATGTTATTTATTTATTTATTTATTTATTTATTTATTAAAACATTTTTATGCCGCCCCATTCGCCGAAGCCTTGGGGCGGCTTACAACAATAAATTAAAATAACATTTTAAAATATATACATTAAAATACAAATATATGATATAAAACATACAATATAAAACAAGCCGCCCTGGCCAGATAAAATTCAATAATATTAACATTTAAAATACTGCTTAAATAAAAAGGTCTTCGCCTGGCGCCGAAAAACAAATAATGACGGCACCAGGCGGACCTCTCTGGGGAGCGCCTTCCATAACTTAGGCACCACCGCTGAGAAAGCCCTCCTCCGAGTAACCACCCTCCTAACTTCTTCCATGGAGGGCTCCCAGAGAAGGGCCTCTCCCGCCAATCTCAGGGGGCGGCTGGGCATATATGGATGTAAGTGCTCCTTCAGGTAACCAGGACCCAAGCCGTTTAGGGCTTTATAGTCAACAAATACGGAAAACAAAACAATGGCTCACAGACTGGAAACATGCAATGTACATTCCAGGGAGGATAGGAAAAAGGAGATAAAAAGTGGGCAGCAACTGCAGAACCATTGTACTAATTTTCCATGCAAGCAAATTGATGCTTAGGGTGTTGCAAGATAGATTATTATTCTCTATTGAGAGAGAAATGCCTCACATTCAAGCTGAATTCTGGGGGGGAAAGATGCACTTGTGATCATATTGCTTATATAGGTTGGCATATAGGCATATATAGAACCACATAATTTCAAAAGATCAGTCTATGCATCTTAGACTAAAGCAAAGCTTTTGACTATGTGGATCATGGAAAGCTATGGATGGTCCTGAAAGAAATGGGTGTGCCTCAGCACTTGAATGTCCTGATGGATGACCTATATTGTGAAGCTACTGATAGGACAGAATACAGAGAAACAGAACAGTTTCCTAAAGGCAAAGGCATCAGACAAGGGTCTATTTTAGCTCCCTATCAATTCAATCTGTATGTAGAGTATTTTATATGGAAAGCTAGACTAGGATCAGAGGAAGGAGTGAAAACTGCCAGAAGAAAGGTCAATAATTAATATATACAGATGCTATCAACTTACTGGCAGAAAGCAGCAATGAACTGAAAGGACTCCTGATGAAAGTGAAAGAAGAAAGTGCAAAAGCACCGCTGCAGCAGGATATACAAAAACAGAAGAATTACACAACTTTATTTTCAGCAAAGAAGACACTGACATCGTGAAAGATTTTGCATACCTTGGCTAAGCCATCAATTCAAAGGTAGACTGCAGCCAAGAAATTAGAAAACTGGGACTTGGAAGAACTACAGTGGAGGAACTAGAAAAGGTCATCCAGCGTGAGGGAATTTCAATGGGGACCAAGGACAAGAGCATCTACCCTACTGCATTCCCAGGCATTATGCATGGGTATAAAAGCTGGACATTGAAAAAAGCTGCAGGAAGAAAATTGATGTGTTTGAACCAAGGTGCTGGAGGAAAGCTTTGAGAATAATTTGAACTGACAGAAAGATGAACAAGTGGGTCCTAGATCCTATGAAGACTGAACTTTCCCTAGAAGCAAAAATGAGAACAATGAAGCTTTCACGCTTTGGGCATGTCATGACAAGGTGAGGCTCACTGGCAAAGGCAAGAATGCTAGGGAACGTTGAAGGCAAAAGAAGAAAGGGAAGGTCAAACAAGCGACAGGTTGACTCCTTAAAGCAAGCCCCAGCCTTGAATTTACTACAGCTAAGCTTGGCTGTCAAGGACAGGATATTTTGGAGGGGATTCATTCATAGGGTCATTCATCAGATAACAATTACTTCACAGCACACACCAACAACATGTAAGGGAACATAGCCACAGGAACCCAAATACATTTTAAAAGCGTTATATTCTAACTGGAAATTGTGATTATTATTTTTTACAATTTCTAAGAGTAAAATGTTGAACAAACCTTGCTTTTCTTCACAGAATGTTTATCTTCTTCCTCATTTGAAGAATCTTTATAATGAGAAAAATGCAAACTCTCACTGATCTCACTCTTTTCAGAAATGCAGTAATTAGTTAGCAATTTAAATTCATTTCAAGTTATTTTGCAAAACTTTATTACTGCAAAGCTCAAGCAGAAAACCAAAAGCTTAGGAAGACTGCCCCACATCTTTTTTGTGTTCAGGTTAATCACATGGTTGCTTGAACAAGCCAGTGTTCTGGATTCACAAGCTATACTTTGCAATCTACTAAGTATCCTTGTCTTTATTTCCCCAAGCTAAAAAAAGCCGATGACACTCTTAACATATTATCATATTGGAATTAAGCAGTTAGCTTTTGTACTACCATTCAAATATATTATCTAAAATACATTAACACAGCCATTACCCTAAACTTTGTCACTAAATATATAATCTGAGCAGCCCAGTATCTGGATCAGTGGATGGGAAACAAGAGGAAGAAATGCATTAATTTTTCTAGAAATTTGTATGAAATGAACTGAGGAATTTGGACAGGACCCACATGTGTATGCAGAAATGATGCCAAAATGTTTGCCTATTTGCTTCAAAAGACATTTGTGTGTGTATAGAGGTGTCCCAATACTGAAATATTGGATAACATGAATACACAGAGAAAAGAACTCTGTGAGTACCAGAACACTTGGAGTTATCTGGAGCAGGCCTTTGTTTCTCATCTCTTCAAACAGGCTGAAATTACAAAATGTTTTGATATGCTGAAATCTGCTCAAGATAGTTAATTTGATAGCACAGCAAATAAATACCAAATATATCTAAATCACAAGCAATACTTATTTTAAAAAAATTCAAAGGAAGGCCAAGATGACAAGAGAAAATGCCAACTTACTGCGTTTTTGGTTCCAGCCTTTACAGACAATTGCTGGTAAAGGTCTTCTGCTTACATTTTTTTGTTTTCTGAAAACACATCAGAAAACCAGTTATTTACAATTCAGTAATTTTGTACTTGTTAATTATGGCTCTTGACCCCATTAGGAAGCTTCTAAAGAGCTTTAGGCTGCAATCCTATTTTCCTAGCAGCAAGTCCCACTGAACTCAGTAGACTCCATTTCTGATAAGACAGAGTAGGACTGTATTTCCAAAGAGCTTTAAAATCTAGCATCTAGGATTATCTCTTCGTCTTCATGAAACCGAAAGAATTCTCCAGCATTTTTTTGCAACAGGCTGTACCACTCTCATCTAAAGTTCTGATCAGATCAGTATACATGCATAACATTACAAAACACATTTGTTCAATATTTATGCAACAATGTAGAGATAACTCGAACAGTAAAGGAATTGCTTAACAAATTGATTGAATAGAATACTTTGCATTTCAGACCTATGTACAAATGTAGACTAGACTCAGGTGTTGCAAACCTGAAACTGAACTTTTAAATATTGTAAGCACATTTTATATCTGCATTGCTTACCTTGTGCAGTTTTTAATATTCAAAGGGCAGTACTTGCCCTCACCACAGCTATGTAGGTCATCTTTTTTGCTTACTTGTTGCTTTATCTGAACCTACAAGGAATGTTAACATAATTAGTCTTCTCCTCAACCATTTCCTTTAATATTTATGAATTAAGTCAGAAATGTGGAAACATGTTCTCATTTGAAGAAAATGAGCAAAGCAATTTTTAAAAGTGCTCTAGAGCACAAGCTTGAATTGCCAAGAATCTGACTGAAAGAAGAGCATCCGTGGTTACTGCAGATAAACAACTTATTACCTGCGTCTGGTCATTTTAAATATCTGATTATTTTAAGGAACTCCAGTGAAATAAACAATAACATTTGGCTATACCCAACCTGCCATAGAGTACAGTCCTATGCATGTTTCAACAGAAATAAAGCTGGGAGTTGTAGAATCTATGTCTATTTAAACATAACACAAATCATGTTGCTTGTTAGTATTTATTCAGCTCTTTCTACACCTAAAAGCCAATGATTGAGTCTGACTTCATAAGCAGAAGACAGAAATTAAATCATAGAATTTAAGAGTTGGAAAAAACCATGTAGTGACTTAGTTCAAATTTCCTGCTCGATGCAAGAATCAGGGTCCCTGACAGATAGCCATCCAGCCTCTGCTTAAAATACTGCCAGTTAGTGATGTGGGCCAGAAAATTTCCCTGGGCTTTGTACAAGAGTCAATTTCTAAAAATTATTTTAATAAAAGTCATTGGCAACAAGACAAAGGAAAGCTTAGAAAGCTGGACAACATATTTTAGAAAGGAGTTCCTGAAAACCAACTTTCCCCTCTTCGCTCAGTTGTCTTTGAAGTTCTCATTATAACATCCATTTGCGGAAAAACCTTCTGTGGCATCAGTACAGTGAAGCCGCTGTGGGAAGCATGGAAGTTGGAAAATTGCAAGCAGAAGGATACTAATGCCACAATGAGAAATCTTTAACATGAAGGAACTACCTTGTAACTTACAAGAAGTTAATATGAAGAAGTAGTGGAACAACGCAATCTGAGAAAAAAATGTACTTTAAGAATTCTATAAGCAAGCAAATATGTTTTAAATATATATATTAGAATAGCATCTATATTGTTTTAAGTTTTAAAAAAATATTAAGCACTTTATCAAAGTTTTTACTGCAACTTTGGACTTTTATTTCTTATTTAAAGTATCTGTATCCTGCTTTTCTTCTTGCACTTGCACTCAGAATGGCTTACACATATAAATGTACACATATAAATGTATACTACAGATGAAATATTTAATTATGGGCCTGAGCCTACATAATGCTTCCTTTGGCAACTGTCATTTGGAGCAGCATAGTGTTCTTTCTATTAGGAAAAGAGGAAACAAGCTCACTTTTCTGGCTGTTGAAGACCCAAGACTAGAAAAGTTTTTAAAAAAAACTTAATTCCCTTTTGTAGCAGAAACTTTATGGCTCGTGAGGAGATTTGTCAAAAAATGAAGAATGACAACATTGGGTTGTCCAATCTAGGAGAAGAAGAAGCCACCAGATATACAATTCAACATTAGTACCATTTTCAGTACAGTCAAGCTGTTTACAAGCAAGAAGAATCAGATATTACTTTAGCTTATATTCTTTATGAATAATAGAATAATTTAGAATCAATACCAGAAGGAACAAAATTAACTAAGTAAAACTAAACTAAATAAAACTTGGAACTTACCTTTATACAGTCTTCCAGTGTGTTTAGCTTATATACAGCTTGAAACTGTTTTCGGTCAACTGGACATGAAGCCCTGGTCTAAAAGAATGTTTTGTTTAGTTTTCAGTATTTCATAATGAATATTTAAAAGTTTTAAAATATTTAGCATGTATAAGTTTAGGTATAGCAGATTTAACCAAACCTGGCCGGACACTACTTTGGGATCCCCTGTTCAATTAAAAATGGGCTCCAGATTAAAATTTATTTAATCAGTAAATCAATTAAAGTATCAACTGGCAATATTTCAACTGCAAGATTGCAACTTCAACAGCACATTGTTAATGTTAGGGCTAATTCAGAAATACTAAGGTTATCTTTCTTCCTAGCAAAGAGAGGTAATTTGTTGTTCTCACATAGCTATATTAGGCTTTCAGAAATATTAGATTTTAAATCTCAAACCAACTAGATCCATTAACAGAGATAAGTGATGAACTAAAAATGTTTCAATCTGTTGAAAGTACTAAGTGAAAGTGAATGCAGACAACCATGAATGAAAGAGGAAAGTATGAGCATCTGAACACACAAAATTCTAGAATGGAAAACACAAATAAAGAGCTTATTTCTACCACTGCTTCTTCCATTTTTATAAACATAGGGCTGAATCCAGATCTAGAGACATACAACTGAGCTGGCAGAAGCAGACCATCCCACTCTCCTCCTTTAAAGGAGGACTGGGAGAGGAGAAAACACTAAAAAAGTCAGGAATGCATACCTTTTGCTAGAGGGACTGTCATAAGAATAAGAAGAAGGCAAGAAGTCCAGTATAGAACATAATGAAAGCAGCAAGGCAGATAAACTTATAATTCAGGAAATGTCTGGGTTGGTGCAAGTGTGCAATTGCACCCTGATTTCCTGCATGTCAAAATCTGTAGGGTAATCCATGCTGCCTTTATTGCAGTCGTAACACAGAACTAGCCCAGGAGAAATGGAAGGACCAGGGAGAGGTACACAGGAGTGAACCCTTACAATGCCAACCTACAATACATCTTCCAGGCACTTGCATACAGGCTGGAAGTCAGCTAAGCTGATAAAAGTTACAAACATATACACATATGCTCTTTTGGATTCATCTGTCCCTGCAGCCAATCCTGATTCCCAAACTGCAGTCTGCTTCCAGACTTTTCACACAGTAAGCAAAAGCAATCTACACATAACTGCTAGCCAAAATGAATAAGGTACCATACTGACAAGCATGGGGAATTCCATGTCACAGTGCTTCTTCTACCCTTGGGGTTCATTTGATTGTACCTTTAAGTGAAAAGGGCCAAATGGTTTTATCATGACCCAAGATAATAATCTTAAAACATCTGAAGCAATGCCATTAGCACAGAGAGCAGTTACTATAGCTAATTAGAGTAAGGCAATGGAAAGCTTTTAAACTATGGGTTTTACTGTAACTATTTTAGTTCTAAACATCTAATCAATTAAATAAATTCATTGACTGATTCATGGTAGTCTCACTAGAGGTTTCCAAGAGGCCAGCTAAGCATCTATTGCAATACTGTTTATCATTATTAATGATTATTGTAAATTCTCTACAGCCCTGGATGTTACTTGATTATTCATCACAATGTTTATCTCACTGAAAGCAACCCAGACGTTTCATACCATAAGACTTGATAAACTTGAAGAAATGTGCACTGCTAGTGCAATAAGAAAACTGTGTAACAAAATTGCAAGCAGATATGCCATTGCCAAGGAACACTGTTAACAGACTGGAAAGCAACAGCAGCAAGGAATCAGGAGCAGAGTATAATGCCTTACATGTATTATGTGGGAAATAGCTAATTGTGAGAGTTGATAAGAATTACATCCCAACATCATTTGGAGTAGCACACATTTCATATCCCTATCTAGGAAGACACATGAAAGTATAACCAAATACTAGAGCAGCAAGAATGGAAGAGCACTTTTAATAAATGAAACAACATCCTAGCTTCCACTGTAGTGAAATTTGAAAGCTGAAAAACAACTTCAAGCATGCCCAAATAGATTTTTTCCCTATTTGAATATCAGAGTTCTGTCAGTATTATGATGCTTTTGAGAGTCTCCCCTTTTTTCAGAACTGGTTTGTTATGCAAGCAAAACTAGCTTCACTATTATTGGATGTCATCCAAGATAAGATGAACAAACTGAACTACATATTAAGACAAATTTTTAAAATTAAAGCTGTTTTTCAACTTACTTCAGCCCATTTAAGGATGCAGGGCATGCAAAAAATATGACTGCAGTTTTCAGGAAAACCAACTTCTTGCTCTGCCAGGCAGTTTAGACAGATGGGACACCTATCATCTTCATCTGATAAAATGCTAGAAGAACAGGAACAGTTTTCTTCATTTTCTTCACCTGTTATAAAATACAGACGTGATGAGTGGTTTGAAGCAGTAACTTTCAGCATTTTATATCACGTACGCAACTGAGTACAAAAACTTGTGATTCTAAAAAGTGAATCTTTACTTATCTGCAAAACATGTCAGAATTTGAAAACAGTAAAATCTTACTGATCCTAGCCTGGGGTACAGGATGCAGAAATCTTATTCTGATGTATCCAAACATTTGTTCTGACCAACAGCCAATCTGAAATTCATAATCAGGGTATATCTATGGTATGTATTAGCTGTGCAGTCCCTGCTTTGGCAGTGAGATGCAATCTATGCTGATAAATAGTGGTCAACGTACTTATCCACAATAAAGTTACTGAATCCTATCTAAAATACAGCAACATATATTTCCATGGGTTAATAACAAATAATTGTGTGGCTAAGAGATGAAGTTAAACATACTCAATCTCTTAGGGGGAAATCCAACCAAGACAAGACCTGTAATCATCCAATGCAGAGTGACAGGAGCAGTGGCAGCAATTTCCCCCTCCATGCTTCCCAGCTGTTTTTGCTAGACAGCTGTTTTTGACCATCTAGCTTGGGTCCTTTGGAGTGGGAGGGAAGCAGGCTGCACAGGATACATTGCAGTTTTCTCTCCTCCCTGCCCACCAGAATGACCCCTTTACTCCCTCTCCTAAAGGGGTATAGAAAGGAGGACAGAGTATGGATTCATTTCAAAAGCTAACTTAGCAAGTGGTAATAATCTCTTGCATTACAGATAACTTCTCACAAAGTTGTGATTTATAGATCCTTCCTGAGTGTGACAGGCAAAATCTCTAGCTAAAAAAACAGAGCACTCAAAGAAACTTCAAATTTTCCTCTGACAAATACTGGATACAGCAAATTCACAGTAATATTTTGGGGATCTACTAATATTCAACTTCCCGCTTGGGTTACTGTAACGCATTCTACATGGGGCTGCCCTTGAAAACGGTCCAGATACTCCAGCTGGTACAGAACAGAGCTGCCAGTCTGCTGACGGGAACCGGCTGTTACTCTCACATAATGCCGGTCCTCTATCAGCTCCACTGGCTCCCAGTTGAAGTCTGGGCCCAGTTCAAGGTGCTGGTTTTAACCTATAAAGCCCTGAATGGCTTGGAACCAGGATTCCTGAAGGAACATCTCTTCCCTTACATGCCCTCACGCCCCTTAAGATCTGCAGGAGAGGCTTTGCTCCGGGAGCCCTCTTTAAAGGAGATAAAAAGAACAACTACCTGGAGCAGGGCCTTCTCTGTGGTGGCACCCAGTTTATGGAATGCGCTCCCTGGGGAGGTGCACCTGGTGCCGAGTTTATATTCTTTTCGGTTAAAACCTTTTTATTTAATGGCTATTTTAAATATCAACTTTATCATTAACAGTCGCTTTTTTGTTTTGGTTTTTATATAATTTTACTGTTACTGTTTTATTGCTTTAATTTGATGTTGTAAGCTGTCCCGAGATGCCGAGGCATGAGGGGACGGCATATAAGTCTTAAATAAATAATATTTGGGGGTGCTCCATTTTATGATCCTATAAGAATATTTATATATTGGTTACCTTCCGAATCTTCATATTTTTCATCATCAGAATTTTGCACACATTGCTTTCTGTTCTTCATTTCTGTTATGAAATACAACCTGAAAAACATTGACATTAGTGATTAATAAAGCAGACAGACTAACATCACACTAAACTCTGTGAGACAAACCTTATTTTGGACCCTCGCCCCACACCTCCTGGCTGGGGAAAGAGAGGGGGCACTGCACCACACCCGCCTTCAGAGGAGGTTCAGCTGCCTATCACAGGACCTTTTGAGGGGCTCAGCGCATTGGGCAGCCTGCACCACCACTTTTGGCCTGTCATCATCACCATTCCCCCACCAGACATCACTTTTTTATTTTGTTGTTGTTCCTGTGCATATTTTTAAATCTGTAAACTGCCCAGGAAGTCCAGTGACTTAAGAGGCAGTATAAAAGTGTAACAACAACAACAACAGAATTATTATTGTTCTATTTTTAATGTTTGATGTTGACTTTTTAAAGACTGAAGAAATATAACTGTGTATATTAAAAATGAGTACATTTCTTTCTCTAATGCAACCTTCCCCAACCTGCTTCCCTCCAGATGTTTTGTATTACAACCTCCAGTATTTCTGCCCATTGGCCATGCTGGCTGGGTTGCTGCAGTTTGATTTCCAAAAGTCCTAAAGGGACTTGGGAAGGCTGATATCTCAACCAAGTTTTTGGAGTAGAGATGCTCTTAACAGACTAAAATCTAATTTATCGCCAGTAAAATGTTTTTTCCAGAAATTTTTCTAGCGTTTAATTTTTCTCTAGCAGTACCATTTCATAACTTGGTTAGTAAAAAGGAATTTATATCAATTACAACATTAAGCAGGCATGAAGTTTCAGAGTTGTAGCTAATGTTTTTCAGTTGGTTATACTAGCAAATATGTAAGAAAATACATATATATAAATGAAACACATCAATGTCTTAAAGTGAAATGAACTAGTAAGTAGCGACAACAAACCTGAAGGTATCTCAACAATCCTGGTGGAAGAAACTTGAACTGTACTGAAATAGATGAGTGGTTCTCAATACATTATGCACAGTTCTTTGTGATGTTAAAATTAATTAATGTGTCAAGAGTTTTCAGGATTTTTCCTTTAAATGTGAACAATATAAGAGCAACATCTTCTATTTTATTTATTTAAATATTCCAGTAACATTAGTGCCTGCTTGCCATCAGCTATGTTTTTGTGCCCACTGTGGAGTGACACAGCTCCCTACAACCCACCCCCTGCCCCATCATGGTATCCCCCCCTTGTTAAGTGATGAGAGAAATGGTGCCCGGAAGAGGAAGAAAGGGGTGGGGGGACAGCCAGTGCACTTGCATCAGAGACAAGGTGGGGCCTGTGCCAGCAGCACCTTCACAACAAGCTTGGGCAGCCTCCTGGGCAACTGCTGAAGGGTGGCTGCCCAAGGACATCACTTGTTTGGTGCCGGTTTAGGTATTGACTTTCCAACTAGAATTACTGTGGGTATACTGATGCTATTTTTGTGTAACTTTTATATTGCTCCATCATATATATATATATTTTAGTGTACTGTTTGCTATTGAGTATTTTGTAATTAAATTTGTACACTGCCTAGACAGCACATTAGGCTATGGTGTGGTATAGAAATGTAACAACAACATTTTTCTATACAATATAAGATTTAACCATAAGTTTTCCATAACGATGTCTGATCCAAAATTTTATAGACATCTATATCTGTATAGATGCAAATAACTAAACACTCTTAAAGTAACTCTCTGAGTTCCAATCCATGCATAAATAGAGAGGCGCCACTTGCTAATGAAGACAACAGGCTGAAATGTGATCTGTGGCAGATAATTTACTATAGTGCAGAGTCTGGAAGATGCAAAAACAGTGGGATCAATAATACATCATAAAAATAATAGAAGCCTCCATATTTTTTGTCATAGCATGAACAGATGGAAATACTAGTAAATAGAAGGTAGGCCCTTTTCAGAAATGGGCCTTCTGACTCTGTCCTGTATATGCCCTCCAGGTCATTAAAAACATTTCCATCACACTAACATCAAGAAAGGAAGCAAGACAAGCTGGGGGAAGCACTCTTCTCATTTTTCTATCACCTTTCCCACAAAGCACTAACATGTACTGTGTCTTCAGCAGAACAGTAAGAAAGAGCAAGGAAGGTTCTGAGACAACATGTAGATTAAACCGGTCACAATTTTACTGGCAATAGTTTACAGAGTTTAGCATAGTATAGGCCGACAATTTCACTTTCTAGCAGCTCAACTATTGTCAGAGCAATAAACTGGCCTGCACGCTGAGAAAAATATTAAAGGCTATCAGAGAAGGAAAGGTTCTCCCTCTGGTCCCCAGTGACTCAGCTTTTTGGTGTCTGAACAAACCTTGCAACACTATTCATTTCTTCATTCAATCATTCATTGTGGAAAAATAACATCCAGATTGAATAAGTGCTCAGCCTTACTGGCTACACATCTACACTCTCCCGCAGTGCAAAACAGGGGGCCAGCAAGAAACGACTCTACCTACCAATATAACATGTCCTTCTGTCCTTCAAAAAACTAATCCACAATAAATATCAGCTACCAGGTTTAACAAGAGATTACCAGCACCTTTAAAAAGGTCCCTTTATTTTCTAATTAAGAGGAGAGAGTGACTCCAAACTTTCTAAGAATTCAATTTCTTTCCTTACTGCAGAATTTCTTTCTTTTCTGTTCTTGCTTATCAAAACAAAACACACAGCCTAACTGTGGATCATGTGAAAAATTAGTTTGATTTGCACCACAGGAAGCAAGTAGGTATCTCCCACCAGAGGTTTCTAACCAACTACAAAAGAGTACTCAAAACCTTTCATGGAGAAGGTCCCTTCCTTGTTTTTTCTATGCATTCACAGGAAATAAGTTTGCATAATTCAAGAGCATACTGTGTATCTTTGTTATGACTTAGTAAAGCAAGAGAAGCAAGTGTGCACAGAAAATTAAGGAGCATTTCTTCTTTTTTTCATGCTCAAGTCCCAAGCGCAACATGACTTTCGCAGTTAAGAAGTACCCATGGCAATAAATAATTATTCCTAAATGTCAGGAATACTGTCCTCACCCTATCCTCACTAGGTGGGCAAACACATACTATTTGTCTGTGGAAAATGCTCAACATCAAAATCCCATTGCTTGAACTGGACAATATAAGAAAACACTACATGGCAATGCCTTCTTATGGTTCCTTCTCTAACCTGATGGTTCCTGGCCGCTTTACCAACTTCCCTTGCTTCTGGTGGTACTGTTCCTGAATGCCAATTTGTGCCAAAACAAAATTTCCCTCATTCATGATGGAGGAACTAGGAGAGGTTGGTCTACTCTACCTGTTCCCTACTGGGTCCTCAGTGTAGCACTTGAGGCCCAGGGAAAGGGCTTGCTTTGTTCTATAGGGATTATATCTTCCTCTCTAGGCTTCCTGATTGAGTGTTTGTACCTTGTGCTGGGTACCCAGGCCAGAATAAGGATTCTGTTGGTGTACTGCTCATCAGTCTTTGATTGAACTGATGGAAATAGTCTTGGATTTGGTGTTGGGCACCCCTAGAATTATGGTTCTGGAGCTTCCATACTGAGGTTGCAAGATCTAGGGTGGTTCAGCAATACATGACTGCCTTGACAACAATGGGGTTGTCATCTGTCCTGCATATGTAAAAGAATACATGCTTGTTTTTATTTTCTTGACCATGGTTACCTGAAAGTGGGGGAAACTAACATCTATCCCATTGTCTTGGTAGGATGACCTATCAGGGTGGGTAAAATTAATTTTTTAAAAAAATTAAAAATTGGGGTTTTGATTTAAATTGGATTTTTAAAATAAAATTATTTTGAGGAACCATTTATCTAAAGACAGTTTTCTATTAAAGATAAATTACAGTCCAACGGTTATTCATCATGAAATAAGGATTAGTTTTTAATTATGTATCTTGAGGCTGTATACTCATACAATGTTAATTTTTTTGGTAAATGAATTCCATTAATCCATTCAAAATGTCAAGCTCTGCCAGGGGTTTCTGTAAGATTACTGGGCAATTTTTTCCTATCTAGAGGATATTATCACAGATGCTTTGTTTTACAGTTCTCAAAACTGTGAATTTGTGTCTGTAGAGATCACATACCTCTTCTTCACAGCAAAAATGCTATAAAATAAACACACATAGACCTTTACCCCATTGATCCTTTGCTCTATGTACACAGAATCAATCCCTTACCTCTTTAGTGCTAAGTTTTAAAAAAATCAATGAACAGAAGAAGACTGTTGGGGTAGAATAGATATGCACAAGAAGCTAAGTGTGTGTGTGTGTGGGGGGGGGAAGCAGTAAAAATGAAAGTGAACCCCTTTGAACAGAATACTCCACAAGTCTTTGTGTTGTTTTGTGAAGTTTATTATATTCTTTCCCTGGAGAAAACCTAGAATGGCAGAAGGTTGTAACAACTACAGGGGGTAGTGCTGGCCTCGAAAGAGGTATTAATTTAGCCATTCCTGAAAAAACCTATTATGTTTGTTTTGATGACGATGTTAACAACTGTAGGTTAGTAGCCAACATTTCCTACCAAATATCCTCCTTCTTTTTGTCTAAAGAAGCACTGATCTCCTTCAGGGGATCATCACTGCATACCATGGCTTATTTAAACAGAGATGAGCCGTAGCACGTCTGGACACCAGGTTGCCAATTCAAGGTCACATCATGTTTTACACTGTCAAAGGCTGGTGTGGATGGCTCTACAGCATCCACTTTTGGCACTGTGTGGAGTTTGACCTAATATGATTCTGGTCTTAAACCAGAATCTGTTTTTAAAAATGGGAATCTACTATTATTTATTTAATAATTACATTTATTTACCACCCCCATAGCCCAGAGGACTCTCTGGGTGGTTTATAATAAAATACAGTATTACTGTATTCTAAACACACAGCCACCCACAGAGAGAGAGAGAGAGAGAGAGAGAGAGAGAGAGAGAGAGAGAGAGAGACAGAGAGAGAGCGCACGCGCGCGCTAAGTCATTAATTGAGTAGATTTGTAAATCAATCCCTGGGTGTTCAGAAAGGCTTATAGCTGAGTGAAATTGCACAGTGTTTCAGCACAGCTTTTTCCTTCCTTTCTTCATCTGTAGTCACGCAGAATGACCCCTCTGTCTCAAAAGTACCTTACTCTTGTCTCAGTTGACAGTTTCTTGCTACCCCTTCCCCACTGTGAAAATGCTGTCTGGAGAATGTGCTGGGCCAACCTGACTTACGTCAAGTATTGGAATTCTAAAATTCCGGGAATTTTCACAGATAAAGGAGGTTCTCCTTTACAGACAATTGACCCTATATGTAGAAAAATGCAAAAACACATGCAAAAACAGAAAAGGACACGAATGAAACTAGTGAACTCATTCCCAATCCCTTGCTGTATGGGTAAAACTTACACATAAGAAGAACAACCAAATAGAGCTAGACTCTCACCACCACCTTAACAACCATAGAGTCTGAGACATAATCCTTGCATACTTTTTCCTACTACACTGAAAGGAACTGTAAAGATTGGTTCTGTCACACTGCCTTTCTACAGTCAGAAAGTCAGCACTTTGGCTGCAATCCCTATATATCTTTTATTTATGTAAAGAAGATCAGGTACCGTGTGCTGCACTTCTGCTTGCCGAAAGACACTGTGAGGCTCTGATCCTTCCCTTCCACAACTTTACGCATTCTATCCCACCAAGTCCAAATTTCAAGGATCAAAGTGTGTTACCTTAAAGATGTAGCAGGTTCTTCCCCCAGCTTTCAGTAAAACTAAGTATATAGAATCTCATTTAGATTTGAAGCCAAGAATGCAGTAGGTCTGCCATTATATTCTGAATGTCTTTCACACCAGTTACAGCTTGGTTTTTACAATATGTTGTGTTTTTTCCAAGATACACAGCCCTTTCGGTGTGTGTGAAACTAATGGTACTGTTTTGGGGGGAGGAGACAATGAGTTGAAGGGAGAGGTGCTGCAAGAGGAAGTATCCTGGTAGACTTCAACTGAACAGCAGCAACTCTGAGAAGAAGATAAACCCAATCAGCCTTCAGCAGGTTTCCTGCTTCTGTCAAGCCCCCATTCCAACCGCTTCTCTCCCTGGCCTGCAAAATGAATTAGAGAACAATCAAAGCTGCTTCTCACCTTGCCCCCCTGTAAGGAACAATTAGATGTCTACTCTGAAATAAACCACATTATCTTCCATAGTGCTCACTCAGAAGTAAATCACATGGACTTCAGTGACACTTATTCTTGGAAAAATAAGCATATCAGACAGGCTTTCAGAAACTACTTTATAGTGGAGAGGAATAGGGATAATGATCCCATGGCTCCCATGGAAGGTGGAAGCATGGTGCCAAGCGGCACCACAGCCTTCTCCTACCCATCTTCTTCTCCTTCTCAGTGATTTGTTGTGAGAGAAAGGAGGAACTGTCCATTTTTTCCTTTTTAAAAAAATCTCTGATCCAATGATTGCTCGTTTGCACTTGTACACAGCTCATTCAACAGGAAAAATCCCTTTCTTTCTTTCTCTTTAGAGAGTTGTTACTTTCCAGACATCCCCTTTTCCAATTCTCCTGGAACTGCATTTGTCAGCAACACAAGATCCTGTTTTCAACACAGTGAAAGCTGTACTGTATTCATGAGCATCTACCCAAAGAGTGGTAAATACTCCTTAATAAACAGAAAGAGTTTTAGTGAAGATTCCCTTCTAGATGCTTTTTTGACAATGTTCAATGGGGACACAGGCAGAGTGATTCAGACTGGGACCCAAGTAAGGGAGACAAACACTTGAAGTGCTACAAGCAACTCACCCCCCCCCCCCACACACACACTAGGGAAACAATCTGTAAACATTTGAAAAATTCTGGCATCAGAATCAACCTAAGCATGCACAGCTTAACTTTCCCAGCACTTGTGGCCATAGGCAGGAAAACCTTAACTTTTGAAACACTGCTGAGAACTTCACCAAACCAATGGAAGCACACCTTCCTGACAACCCTGAATGAAATACATCAGCAATTTCCTTCAAAATTTGAAAGAAATGTAAGACATACTCTTCTACAAACTGGAGCAGAAAAGGTTAATATGCCTACTTTAAACACCTTCTGTACCTGTTGGACTTTTTATCAGAACAGTTTTAAATTTTGTATAATGATAGAATTCAGTAGGTATATCATGGATACCAAAGTTCTACAGGTGTCATGTTTATATTCAATAGAACTATGAGGCTTACAATGGCACTACCTTATTTTTGCAATCAAATCAGAAATCACTCATACCATATAATATCCCAAACAGCATCTTATTCTATGATCATGAGCATGTGTCATTATATTCCTAAGCCATTTGCTACCTCTGCAAATTTAGGCAAAAAAGAGGCTGACATCTCCCAGCTTATTACTGCCAACAATGTGCAGGGATTTTTTGAGGCTGAGATGCAACAATTCTAAATCATGTATTTCAGGAAACAGAAAGTGAAAGTTTTCTGTATCATACATCTGCTTTACAAGATCAACAGTTAATAAGTCCTCTGAATACATCTTCCTTTCTCCTATCTCTTTTGTATGTGTACCAATTTCAAGGAGATAAATGTGATAGCTTCAACAACTTTTAGATAATGACATTCAATCATATTTGCTGCAGTTTTCCTTCCCTGAATGTCTTTCAAAATCACAATATCCAGTTTACATCACTCTAGAGCAGTTCCCACTTTTTAAACTCACCCTTATTTGTAAAAGCATATACAGATAATTTCTCCTCCACCCCTTCTACCAACATTCTTCTCAGGGTTTTGCACAAAGTCCATTTAGAGAGACCACAGATTCATAAAGACAGTATTATAGAAAATCAGGGCCTCCAGTCAGTAGACTTTAGTGAGTTATTGTGAGTCCTTGTGTGCCAGCTAAACAAACAAAAGAATACGCAGGAGAAAGTGAATATTTCACTAGAAACAGTAATAATGTTACAACTCCGCTCCGAATTACTCCTACATATCAAGAGACCGGAGAGTTTAGTTAAATCAGCTCCTCCCCGGAATTGTGTCTGCTCGTAACTTTGTAACATGTCTTCCAGTCCAGGGGGAATGCAACTTTCGCTGCTGCAGCCAAGCGATATGATTGTTTCCGAAACACACACACGTCCTATTCAAAAGAGATTTTGCGAGTTTGCAAAAGGATCTTCCTTTCCCCTCCCCTCCCCACCCCTGTGGACAAGGCGAAGACGTTTACCGTCCCTTCGTGCCCTAGCACCCTGAGAGACCTAGACGATGCCAAGGTGTTCCTGGCCCTGTTTCCTCACATGGCCTCGCTCGGCCGAAAGAGAAGATGCCGGACAGCCTCCGTGAGGACAAGCGCAGCCGGCGGCCCCGACAGAGCGCCTGCGCCTTCCCCTTTGTCTCCCCTTCGCTCACGCACACTAACCGGCCGGCCTTTGCCTTATTTACTCCCTTCTTCCCGTACGTTGAAGTCCGCTTACCTGGCGGCACCTTACAGCGAGCGAGCGAGCGAGCAAGCGAGTGAGCGAGTAAACGAGGCAGGTCGGCCTGAGGCTCCGCTACTGCGGCCTCAACATGGAGACTCCGGCCCTCGGCGCCTCCGTGGCGCGTCTGATATCTCCGGGCTAAAGGCCTCGCGCGAAGACAGGAAGAGGAGGAAGAAACAGGCCGCTTCTCCAGTGCGTTGTACTCAGAGCCCGCTCCCCCGATCACATGTCCCTTCGCGGCAACGGTAGTCGAACAGCAGAACGCGAGAGCGCGCGCGACCCCCTTCTCCTACTCCCGCGGCGAGAGCAGCCGCGCAGCCGCGCTACCCAATCACTTCTCGCTGCAGAGGAAGAGCGTGACAGACTGGCAGGCGCGCGGCGCTGCTCGCCATCGAGACGCAACCGACCGGCTCCAACGCCACCCAGAGGAACTCTGGGAAGGTCCTCCAGTGCCCGAGTGAAGGACTGGGCGCGGGTGGTTGTAGAGCACATGCGCAAGAACCACCGTGAGCAAAAGAGCAGGCGCTGACGAAAGCGTTATGTAATGCCGCAGTATTTGGCCAATGCTTGGAGGGCGAGGGTGTTTGTCCCCGAGAGGCTGAAACCAGCGCGGAAACGGCCATTCTTCTGCTTAATACATCCACCACGTTGTTACGCGTGCAGTCCCGCAGTTATGTTATAACCTGTCGCTGGAAGGCTTTTCTCCGCGCGCACGGTAACCTCCGTCAGTCTCCCACAGTTCTTAAGGGCGCAATCCTCTGCAAGGTTAGACGGGAACAAGGCCTACAACTCCCAGCATGCCCCAGCAATGTCTAGCCTTGATAGGATCGCACCCTGTTAGTGCCTTGTTCCCGGTGGACGTCGTGGCGGCTGTCATAGGAAATAACTTCATTGCCCGACTTCCGAGCGAGAGTTATTCGAGTTAGAGCAAGTAATCAGGGTAACTGTGCAACAGGAGTTTTAGCTCTCCAACCAAAGAGACGGTAGGAGCAGCCTACCAGAGCACGCTTGGCGTGGAGAACAAGCGACAGCCCGCATCGCTAGTGAAAACGCTCGGCTTTCCCCAACCTGGTGCCCTCCAGATGTTTTGGCAATACTGGCTGAGGCCGCTGGGAGCTGAAGTCCAAAACATCTTCCGAGCACCAGATGAGGAAAAGCTGATAGTAAACGAATAGCCTCTACGGTGAAGAGCGGCTGCTACTCCAGGACGATGTTCCTTGTGTTTGACTATGAGAGGTTGACGCCCCTCGAAGAAAGGGCTTGCAGCGGCAGCTCACAGCATAATTTAGGGACCAAGGCTAGCTGTAGTCAAAACGGGAGGCTGACCTGGGATAAGATCCATGAACGAGACGAACTGCATGAATTTTATTTTTAAGTAAACGTCCATAGAATTAGATTTGAATGTTTCAGCTTCTGATAGTAATCCCACTGATATAAGCATCACTTCCTGCAGCAGATGGAGATAGGGCTTTACAGTATTACTTAGGACACAATCCTATGCAAGTTTAGGCAGACAAAAGGCCTACAACTCCCAGCTAGGTATGCTGCATGGAGTGTGTGCAACTCTGTGTGAAAGAAAGTGAATGTGATTTGGCTCTGAAACCAGGCATTTTTGGAAAACAGTTTCCATACACAAGATCAGGAAAGCATGTGAAATTGCAAGTAATTTTTTGGTTCAAGCTGAAATGTGAAGCTGAAGCAAACAACCAAACAGAAATGTGCACCATTTTCACCTTGTTAACAAAATAGCCATAAGAGGTAAGAGTTGTTAAGCATTTTTTCTAGTCTCCTTGAAAACTATGAGGACAGGCTGGGAAACCTGCCTGTAGAATAGTTTCCAAAAAGCATGCACCAGTTTTTATTTTGCTGTTTCACTGCTGAAGAGAGATCTCAACAATTTATTTTTCATATTTCTCCATGTCTTGAATGTGAGCATAGGTTGCATGGTGAAGTTTCAGTATGAAATGTTGAATAGTGTGCTGAAGGTGTGCAGCAATTTTCTTTCCAATATCTCAGTCTGGCAGACTGATACTGCTTTACAGTATGTTTAACATCCACCCTAGGAATGGTAGAAATGGGGAAGAGTCAAGCTAGGATGAAGAACTGAAAAAAAAAAAAAAAAAGATGTGCACAAGGAATTTTAAAATGCTAAACATAAGGAAACCTTAGATGTAAAGTTGTCAGAAGATATTAATCATCACAGAACATTGTTTGAAATGAAAGCTATTTTTGAAGCAGAGAAATGTCTAAGCTTAACAAAACAAAACTATTTTCAAAGAGTAATAAAACAATAAGATATTATTCTTTAATCTAAAATAAGAGCAGTCTAAAAGAACAATACCCCCAATATATTTATCTGAACTTCAGATACAGATAAAGCATTTGATAGTGTTGAACATGAGAAACACTCCATTTTGGTGATAATTTTTTAAAAGTTAGAAGAATAATTTATACAAACCCCAGAGCCAACGTAACTGTTAATTGCCAAATTCAGCATTTTTGAATTTAAAATGTGGTACAAGGCATGGTTGCCCATTATCAGCTTTATTGCTTGCTATATGTATAAAGTGTTTGGCAACATAAATTAGATTGAATGAGGAGGGCATATATGGGCGCATGCGTTCCTTTAGATATCCAGGTCCCAAGCTGTTTAGGGCTTTATAGGTCATAACCAACACCTTGAATTGGGCCCGGACTTCAATCGGGAGCCAGTGGAGCTGACAGAGAACTGGGGTTATATGAGAACAACGCCCAGTCCCTGTCAGCAGCTCTATTCTGCACCAATTGAAGTATCCGGACCGTCTTCAAGGGTAGCCCCACGTAGAGCGCGTTACAGAAGTCTAATCGGGAAGTTACCAGCGTGTATGTCACTGTCGCCAGGCAGTTGTTCTCCAGGAAGGGACGCAGCTGATACCCAAGTGAGTGCCTTTGGCCAGAGGTAAACGCCTATGTAAACAGATGAACTTAAGATTTATTGCTGAATGACCAATCAGAGTACAGATACAATACACAAATAACGTGCACACGTGATAATGAACAGACATGTTTCATAATTCAGTATGTTGTGTGTTGTAATGGATGTACTTAATGCACTCCTGTGTTGCCACTCCTGTCTCATAAGTCTTCAATTAACACTTGATTTAATGATAGATTTAAAGGGAATAATATTTTGACTCCCAGACAGGATGAGTGTAAAAAGAAAGAACTATTCCATCGAGTACAAGAAAGGAATCATGGAGGACTTTCAGGGCAGAATCTTACGGCTTTTGTAAGAAAAAATAAGACAACACCTGAAAATAAGCCCTAATGTGTTTTTGGAGCAAATATTAATTTTTGGAGCAAAAATTAATATAAGATCCAGTCTTATTTTTGGGGAAACATGGTATATCAGCTGCCTTGAAAGTCTGAGATAAATATAGGGATGTGCATTCTTGTGAAATTTCTCTGCTGCAATCTTTTCTATGTAACACCAAATTCCAACTAGCTGGAATCATATAGCAGAATAGTCTAGACATAAAATTATGGCATTTGCAGGTGTGAATTAAGGTGGCAGTCCTATACCCTTGTCTGATCTAGTACATAAAATGGGAACAAGAAGATCTTTCTTTTAATATATTAACTTACAGTAAGTTTTAACTTACATTTTAAATTTATCACTCCTTAACTCTCAGCTGTGTATTACATACTGTATATTGTGTGTTGTATATGTTATTGTATATATTGTTGTGTGTACAGGGACTGCAGGTGGCGCAGTGGTTTAAACCACTGTGCTGCTGGGCTGGTTGATCGAAAGGTCGCTGGTTTGAATCTGCACAATGGGGTGAGTTCCCGTTGCTCTGTCCCAGCTCCTGCCCACCTTGCAGTTCAAAAGCATGCAAATGCAAGTAGATAAAAAGGTACCACTTCGATGGGCAGGTAACAGCGTTCCGTGCACTTTGGTGTTTAGTCATGCCAGCCACATGACCATGGAGACTGTCTGCGGACAAATGCTGGCTCCCTTGGCTAGGAAACGGAGATGAGCACCGCCCACTAGAGTCAGGCATGACTGGACATAATGTCAAGGGAAAACCTTTACCTTTTTACATTGTTACGTATTCTATATATTACTATTTTATTGTTGCTATTTTACTCCCATATTGGTTATTTTGTTTTATTGCTGTAATCCACTTAGAGAGTCTGATGAGATTTTAAAAATGGATGCAATTTAGTATTGATATGACTTGTTTACATTGTTTGGACATTAATACATTTAGACCCTTTGCAACATTGGTGTAACATTTTTGAGAAGTTATTGGACAGCATATTGTATTTTGGAAAAATTAGGATTAATTTGCTTGTGCCATATAGGTTTTGGTGCTATATAAGTTTTATTTATAATTCTGATTCTGTGCAATTTAAGTGGTTCCATTTATCTGTATATTTATAATAAAGAAAAAAATAAAAAAAATTATCACATTTGTAACATCTTTGATAGAGGCCCAAGTATTCCCAGGAATATGCTGACCAATGCTCAGGACAGAGAGAACCTGGCTGCTCATGTTGGTAAATGTGCTCTGGTAATCTCAGGTTGGATTACTGCAATTTAATGTACATGGGGCTGCCTTTGATGCTAAGCAAATGTGCATAACTCCATCACAGCAGTTAATTTGAGATATTCTAGGGCCTAGCTGCGACTATATTTCTGAGCTCAGTTCAAGGCACTGGTATGGACCTTTAACATGGAGCTACCTTGGAAACCAGTACTTGTTGGATCATCCAGTCAGTGAGACTGTCACTTGAGGCTCTCATCTGGCACTAGAAGAAAGCCTGTTATATGTTGTCAACTTATCCATGTAACCCAGCATCATCCTCATCTCTGGAATGCTCTTTCTAGGGTAGCTTGAATGGTACCTGATGTTGATGTCCTTTGGGTGCCAAGTGGAGATTATTCTAGAGCTTTTCAACAAACCTGCTAAACCGCTATACCTACTTTCAGTTTTGCTGAAGAATTAAAAAAATGAGCACAAGCCAAACAATTTTTCCCTGCTTTTCTACTGTATCAGTCTTGGTTGTGCTGTGCTATAGCCAAATAATGCAATGACACAGGAAGGAAAAAAAGTTTTCTTTCGCTTTCAGAGATGACAAACTTTTCTATGCATGCTATTTATAGTGCACTCATCATTCTCTACTTGCAGTTGTTAAAGAACACTTTTGGCAAGGTTGTTTTTGTTTTTTTTTAGAATAGAGAAGAAAGGGATATTTCTGACTGTGAAAGAAAATTCTTTTTCCACTTGTGTATTTGTGCTGTCTGCCAAACTACAGGGACACCTCAATGTTATGCAGTGGAAAAGCAGGAAAGGAAACATTTTTCATGGAGTACTTGGCTCTCACTTGCATTATAAAC